GCTTCGTAGCACGGATAGCCTGTCCCCCCGGTCGGGGCCTCACTGTGCGAGCCACGGCCTGCCCCGAGGGCCGAACAAAGAAAGCGTTTACACTGGCATATTACTGAAGTGCCTCTCTTCTTGAACTGGGGGGAAAAGGCGGCTGCAGAGGACGGCGGGGCCCTCATTACACGCTGTGTGTATCCCTGATTGGATTTTCGCTCGGGTTTCGTTCTTGCGTAGGCAATCACGCGAAACGCAAACGCTTATCGAAGACGCTGTAGACCCTTTCACCCCGTCTCTCTCCATCTCTCACTCCAATTTTCTACTGAGCCTTTCCGAAAAAAAAAAAACTTGCAGAATAAAAGTGAACAACTAAATGACCACAATTGAGAACGTTGTACGCAAAGCAGGCAGTATAGTGCAGTATACGAAATGCGATAAAAACTCGCACACACAGTTTTTTGCACTAATATATAATATGATGAGAAGCCAAAATACCCAACTTATGATAAAACGCCGTAAAGCAACAAAAGATGGAGGAGACGATAAGGAGACTCTCATTCGCCTCAATTTACGAGTTGCCCTGCCATGACAAAAGGTATGACGCCACTGCATTTACGCATGTTTCATTTCCAACTCACAAGGTGATACACGAATATGCAGGAAGATTAGTCACGGCAAACGGCTCGCCATGTTTCAATGCTTCTACACGGCTACCATTTTTTCGCAAAACGTTGCGAGAAACCGGTGGCGTGTGTACCTTTCTTAAGCACTTTGTTTTATTGGTCTCAAGGTGTGTAGTATAACCACATGCTCGCATTTTTTTTTTTGGTGTGATAAGCTTCAAGTCAACGACACAGTTCAAACAATATTAAAAGTTTTTTCATTGAAAAATACAACACTTAAGGCTACTGAAATATATAACGACGCACAGAGGCGTCAAAAAACAAGTACGCTGAAAAGACTGAGCTGTTGGATATTATTCAAATAGCAAAAAAAAAAAAAAACCAACACCAGAGAGCACGCAGAGATAGAAAAAAAAAACATCAGGCGTGTGCAGAACTAGCAGCACAGTCATAGCAGAAGCTGGAAAAGCAGCCTTTCAAGAACCTTCTTTAAACACTCTTGGGGCAACTACTACAAGCATGCTTCCATGGTACTAACTACTTCATAAATCATCCTAATGTTTCAGTGAGGAATAAGCGTCCACTATGCCATTATTTGTCATTCTTCGGAGAAGCGTGCTACCCGCTACAATCCCGTAAAGCATTATGTGCGCTTTTTTGACGCTGTGACTGACGACGATGGCGAATAATTCCTGGGATTTTTGTAATACTTTGGAGAATTCAACGACCTACTCGTTACGCAATTCCCATTGTGTGGCACCTTGTTTTTACTCTACCGTTCCAAAACACTTTCTTACACATGTTAACGCAATTTCTTACCAGCATGAAGCCTGCATAGGGTCACTTTGCAACGGAGTATGAAACACCGATGTACATCAGTGATAAAGTAATAGATTGTCACGCAGAGGGCCCGGGTTCGGTTCCTATTCTGTCCTCAGTATTTTTGTTTAGTTTTTTTTTCTTACTTCGCCCAGTAGTGCGAAGTAATTAATTAACCTCTGCTCATGTGATGGCACCTGAGGCGAAGGGGAACATTTAGTTATGGCACTGCGACATCACCTTGACAGGAAGGAAGAAAATAAGCTTTACAGATTCGTCTTTGACAGCATTCTAATTATATTGTATGTGTTGATTTCTCACCTCGTGCAGAAACATTGACAGCTGTTAAATTCTAATATATGCTTCTTTGAATGCATGCATGCTTGCAAGCGCAAGACAGAAGGTTCATCATACAATTGCGTGGAGTGGAAGTGCCGAGGATAAATACGCGTGCTTCAGTGGGCAGCTATGTGGCCAATAAGTCCTTGTTAAACACCATTCGCATATTATTGTAGTTTATTATTAAAATATGAGGAGTAAGATTGAAGCATGTGAGGCGATGTGATATCATGCATGACCACCCTCCCATGTAGGGCAGATTGATCGCAGTGGTTTTTTTTCTTTCTTTTGTTGTAGTGCTTTATTCATACACCGCAGGTTTCTTTCTGTATTTTTTATTCAAGAATTACCCCGCATTGCCCTTAGGCGTTACAAGAAGGGAAAGGGGGGGGGGGCTTCAAACAGGTATACAAATAAGAACTTATTTGCACAACACACTTGTTTTTCGAAAAGCTTATTGCATTCTCCTACCCTCTACGGAAAAAAAAAAGAATTAGCGAACATGCACGTCCTGGGCTAGTAATCATGGTTTTCTATTGTGCCCCACGTTTCCCACGCATAAACAACGCACGAAACGTACTCAAAGGTACAGATATGCAAATAAGCGTTTCAGTTGCTACTTTGCTGTGTCTGAAAAGGGCGATTTTCTCGCTAACGAGACTGTGCAACCATTGCAGTGACTTTTGTGCGCCTTGTAAATACAACAAAATCGTTCTGGTGCAAGCTTAAAGACAGCCAAGGCACAAGATGCTCCCAATTGTGATATATATATATATATATATATATATATATATATATATATATATATATATATATATATATATATAATCCAGCCGAGTGTGTCCATATAACTGCTATCGCAATAAAAGTGAGAACTTGGACTTGGAATGTCCAGCCCCCAAAATAAACGTGAATTCAATTCGACTCCGGATAGCATGCTTCACCTTTTTACTACTGTTTATGCGGACAATAAGACCAACGTCTGGAGAAGGGAAACGCAATGGAAAGGCACTGTGCGTGTGGGCGTATTTATGGGCTGCTAAGCTAGAAATAGCTAGTTGTACACAAGAACTAAATTAGATGGGGACGAGCAGGAAGAACGCCCACGCATTGAGATCTAGGCGCCCATATAGGAGCGCCGTGGGATCATTACAAATTTGAGACAGAGCAAAGACCATATATATAATTCGGGGCTCAGGCATCTACAGCTCGCAATAAACTTTGCCGGGCACTTGCTGAAGCAGGTAATGAGTCCACTTAATGTTTATAACTCAATTTAGGAACAGCAGCTGTAGAAATGCACAGGCAAAGTCACTTAAACATAAAACAACATGCCTTGCTTTGATTTATGGAACCTATGCCTCGAGCTTAAAGATTATAAGCCATTCAGTCATATCTTCTAATGAGCATGTTAATTAGTGCACAAACAGTACCCTGTTGGCGGAACTAGAAAATCCATGTAACACCGTACGCCTCATTGTTGTGTACTCCGTCACCCCTTTTTTAGCAGCTTGGTTAATTGCTAGCCGAGATTCCCTGCTTATATTTTACTGAGATCACTAAGTGGAAGGAGTGAAACCCACACTTACAAAGATTGCGAGCGTAATCTGTCATTGTTTGGCCGATAGGAAGTTGCTGCCGGAGCATGCACCTAGGAAAAATTCTTAAAAGAAGAGCAGCACAGTTACTCATTACAAAGCTTAATAAATTGTGGAATGGAGCTGCTCACTCGGCCACCCATCTGCGCAGTGCTTTTGTACAGTGTTAAATTTTCTCAAAGATTGAGGTACCCCGGTGAGACAGTCGCTGGCGTACTATTAAAGGCTAGATTCGCCTTCAGACTCCCCCTTCCTCCTCCTGTTTCTCTTCCTTCACAGTGTGACGATAAAATAGCTACTGTGGCAGTGTTCAGTGGACTGAAAGGGAGTCCCAGGTCCTTTCACTACATGGCTGATTGACTCTGCTTTTTTTTCTTACTATAATGTTTTTCATTAGGTCTAAGCCGTTTTATGAGAGTGCTGGGCACCTCACGTAAGCTAAGAGCCAGTTCCTTGCAGAACTTGATGGAGTGCGTCTTTATTGGAAGCTTTGAGATTGACCTACACGTTTCCAAACGTAGAATAAAAAGGGTAATAACAACTAAACACGTCCAACACAAGACAATAAATTAGCAGCCATTCCATCGTTTTTATCATTACATGTATCGTCAGATAAACAGTTGCCCTTACTGGCAAACGATAACGAGACGATCTGCGAGTGCTAACCGTGCAAAGTGAGGCTCGTAGTCTGCGTGTGACGCACAACAGTAAAGAGCGGTTTCACGGAAATTTCTGGCTACATACTACAACACTCTTTCCCTCCCTTTTCAGGGTTCATTTTGTGCCCACATGTTTTGACGGAATTAAAATGACGTAGGCTTTCATTCCCAGGCGCTTCACCTCTGAAGGAAGCCGAGTGTCAGGCCGGGGGATGCCTGTGCCCGTTTCAAGAAACTTGTCGGTATCTGGTGGCACGTGGGTTCAAACGAACGTGGGTTCAAGCCGAAGCGGACACTCTACCACGAGGCCACAGCTGCGGTAATTGTATGTGCCAAGCACCCTCACAAATGGCGTTTTAGGTGAGTTTACCGCATAGTATAGCTCATTTAATCAGTTACTGGTGATCAGTAATAGCGAAAGCGCAGACATCACGATAATTTCTCTGAACGTAAAGCTTCAGATCCTACTATGCTTGATAACGCCGATAACGTTTCTTGGCGCACGCAATCTGTATATGCGCCAAGCTATCTAACTAGCGTATACTAACACAGTGAACGTAAACTGCACGTACACTTGTAATAAAGAAAAGCTCAAAAAGAGGAGTAACGCGTGGTGCACAGGCAATAAGGAAAGCAGTATTTTTTAACATCTGCAGTGTGTTTACGTATACTGCTTTACTGAAGCCCCGTCTACTTGCCTGCGCGAGTGCGATAACAATGCACATATGATGTTTGCTAGAATGGCGATCGACTCAATGCAGACAGCCGAACCAGGTGTGGTTTCGTCGAAGAAAGCCATGTATTTTGTTTTGGTTAATAATACGAAGCAAGCTAAAAGTCCAGAAGTAGGGTTTACATCGCTAACGTGTAACTCGCATCCACGAGTGGCAAAGCGTTTGCAGAAATTCTGTAATAGAGTAATATATTCGCTGCCCAAGAAGAGTGCTTTGACGTGACCATACATGCTCGCGACTCACGTGCGTTGTAAGTGATGTTGAATCCCCGGTGCCTCCGCGTCCTTTGTGGCTGGGCCTCTAGAGTCAGCTTGAGCGTGTCGCCATACGAGAGCAGCTGGAAGCCACGCTGCACGCTCTGGTCACCGCCGCACAGGCTGATGGTGGCTGGGCTCCCCACGGCAGTGGTGGCACTGAGTCTCACGCTCACCCGGTCGCCCAGACAGAGACCCGACGCGTCACGGACGCCCACGTCCAAGTCCTCCACGGTCACCAACACCGGTAGGCTGGGTGTCTCGGACTTTATCACGTACCTGAAAGAGAGAAGTCAATACTTGAGCTGCGAGATAGTGTAAGGGCCAACCAGACCAACGCCTCTTTTATTTCTTTCAACGCCGGTGCGAACGCGCGCTTCTAAGCGAGAGCCGTCAATCCGCCTTAGTTCAGGCAGTGGTCGTGATGCGACGCCACATGATGGGTAGCGCTGTTGCGTCACTCGTGCTTCCGAGCGATTTCCCCGGAGATGAGATAAACGTGTTTCCTACTCCAATATGATACGTTCATCACATTTGTTCCTTCGAGCTCCTTTGTTTTCTGTGGCTCGAAGCAACGCCGCCACCCCAATACAGCGCAGCGCTTGTAGTAGCGTTGCGGTGACGCTTCCCCATTGGTTGCCCGCATAGCACCACGAACAGCGACGCGCGATTTCAAAACACCGTATCATTTACTCAGCCAGCGTGACAGAAATCATTATGAACACGAGGAATGTAAGATACCATCCCACGGATCTGTACGCAACTGAACAAAAAAAATTACTCCATATGATTTCCGTCTTGACGCACTACTTGATGTGCTCTCTCCCCCTTGACCGCAAATCACACGCGAAGGCTAGGTGATAGGCGAGAGCATGAAGGGTCTAAAGGAGAAGGTGGTGAACTGCTGGATCGGGCGCATCTGGCTGGCATTGATAAAATAGAGGAGGCATTGACCAGACAAACGTGATCAGCAAGGCCGCGTCTTTTGCCTATTGGATGAGAGGTAGTGAAAAGGCAAGAAGCTCGAACCTTTGACAAGGCTTGTCTTTACCAGGAACAAAGACAAGGACAAAGGTCACCAGTAGCCGCTTACATCTCGAAAAAAAAAGCGTGGCAAGAAATAACGGAGAGAAGAAAGGTTTCTGCAAGGGCGCCCAAGCCCCTTTAAAATCGTACTCTACAGTGACTAGCTATGAAAATGGCCAATAAAAAATTGACAGAACCCACGTACAGTGTGAATCGATGATATGCGAAGCATGAGGGAGGAAGGTTGATATGTCACTTTAAAATCACCACAACCCCTGATCAGACCTCAGTGAGAAGCGCTCCCAAATTGATACAACACGACCTTATAAAACCTCCGCCTGATTAAATATTGATAACAACTTTAGGGTTTCTCGAGCCAAAACGGTATAACTTTAAGGCAGGAAGCAGTTGGGGATTGCAGGTTAATTCGGACTATCTTAGATTCTTCAACGTGCACCTACGTATAATAACACGCGTGTTCTTTCATTTCATTTCCATCGAAACTCGTTCGCCCTGGCCTGGACTTGAAGCCAAGTCCTGGAGTTTAACAGCGCGACACGTTACCCTCTAAACTATCACGTCGGGTCACCTCAAATAAGACATGAAACAGTCATATAAATATGTATGTCTACTCACGTCCCGCCTAGATCCAATTCAGAAGTGTCTCCGTTTTCTATGCTATGAAATTCGCTATAGACACCTATTAAGCAGCGCTACAGCCTCTATACTCTGTTCCAGAAGTTCCGTGCAGCAAAGCCAAGACTACACGACCCTAGAACACAGGTGGTTGCGAAGCGAGATGTGGTGCCCCGTATACGTAGCCCGTTGTTTGTCCTCGGGACTTTTGCAAGTGGTCTCGTTGAAGGATTTTTACTTGAAGGCTTGTCTGCGTGTTGTAGCTGTGATTTGTATGACGATTTTGTCAAATTTATGCAGAAAAAAAAATTGTGGCTTCATGATAGTGAAGAAAAAGTTATTGCTTGTACGTGTTATAACATGCAAATGACGAAAGAAATAACGCTGTAGTGGCTCGTATGTGTTTTGTTTTTACTTAAAAGTACGAAGGAGTGGTACCACACTGTCTAAACGTTTATAAGTATTCCGCACAGCCCGAGCGTCCACAGCACGGCGGAGGACCCAGTCTCGTGTTGTGATTATTCCGCGGTGGCAGATATGGCCACTCCTACTAAAATGGCGGCGCCTGGTTCACCTGTGTGAGCTTTTATGACAAGGGAGCCAAGCAGTTGGCTCTAAATGTGTTCGGGACACTGAGTAAGGGGGGTGGCCGAAACGCAAGCATGAGCTCTCTCATTAAGAGAACGGCTGCGTTCACCAACGTTAGCGAGCGTGCGCTGTACAAGTGGGTAGCGGAGCACAATAAGCACGGCGAAGTGCTTTCACCCAAGACGCCGTCTCATGGTGGCAGGGGCCGCGATAGAGAGCAGCTGCTCGACGACTTCAACTTTGGTGTGTTGCGCAGAGTCATGCACGGTTTCTGTAAACGGCAGGAAATTCCGACGGTGCGCAAGCTCGCCGCATACTTCAAAGATGACTCGCTGCCGTCCATTTCCGCTACAACTATTCATAGGATGCTGCTCAAGGTACGCTTCCGCTATAAGAAGCTTTCCCGAAATTCACTCCTGATCAAGGCCGCTCACATCATCCAGTGGCGACGCAAGTACTTGCGCCAAATTAAGGAGGTTCGACGCCAGAGATGACCCATCTTCTACACTCATGAAACCTGGGTGAACGCAGGGCACACTGTAAGCCGTGGGTGGGTCGACGAAACCATTAAGTCTGCTGAGCACGCCAAGAAAGCCCACCTGACGACAGGCCCGCTTAACCCCAGTGGTAAAGGAGGTCTTCCATTATTACTCACTGTGGTAACGAGGACGGCTTCATCACAGCTGCCGGTGAAGTATTTCGAGCCAGAAAGGGAACAGACGACTATCATAATGAAATGGACGGCGCCCACTACGAAAAGCGGTTTAAAGCAAAACTACCGCCCAATTTGCCGCCACAAAGTGTCATTGTGCTTGATAATGCACCTTATCATTCTATGAAGCTTGAAAAGGTACCCTGTATAAGTACGTTGGAAAAATACATTCAGAACTGGCTCTCTCTGAAGGATGTGACCTGGAGCAGTGACATGGTCAAGGCAAAACTGATAAAGTTTGTGCAAACCGTAAGTACGGAGGAGAAGAGGTTTCGCATTGACTGAATTGCTGCTGATGCTGATCCCACTGTCATGCACTTGTCGCCATACCACTGTGAGCTCAATCCGATTGAGCTCGTGTGAAGTGATGTCAAAGGTTATGTTGCAAAAGCCAATACACACGTCAAAATGGAAGGCCTTGATGTTCTTGTTTGGAAAGGCATAGAGCAAGTCACTGCACAAAAAGGAAAAAATTACGTGAGCCGCGTAATAGAAGAGAATGATGACATGATGAAGATTGATCACATTAATCATGATGTCATTGATGACAACCAACGAGTCGTAGTGACCTTGGATGCTGACATGACGAGCAGCGATGAAAGTAGCATAAGTGAAGATCATGATCCGCCTCTCCGTTGACTGGTTCTTGAGGACAGTTCCACAAATACTGTCATATCGTGGTCACCTGCTTATCAAACATGTCACTTGCAACAGCTTTGCCAACTGTCACCGTGTAGCCTTGCACATTACTGTCCAAAAGACGTCACGGTGTTTTACTGCCATGAAATGTCAAAACAGCAACTCTTGAAAACTAACTCGCCGAAGTGTCAGGCAATGTGGCGCACCCTACTTCGAATCCCATTCTTGTCGCCGCTGCATTATTCGTGTGTCGCATTGCATTTCAAACACATCACTCAACTGTGCCCATGCCAGTGTTGCCTTGGCGGCAATATTTTAAAGACTCCGGGTGCTCCCAGTCACGACTTCCGTGCCCTTCGCCAGCTACAGCTTCCAGTGCTGTGTGTTTTAATGCCATCGATGCGGACATGACAACTTAAATGCTGAAGGGTCAAAATGCCGACAGTGTTGTGTTATTTACCTGAAAGCCATCTCGTGCCACCCCTGTGTTCTTCGGGTGTTGTACAGTTGCTGTGCCCCATGGCAGCTACAGCTACAGCACCCAGTGCTGTGTGTTTAAATGCCATCAATGCCGTAGTGGGAACTTTAAACCTGAAGCATAAAAAATAAGACAGTGCTGTGATATTTACTTGAAAGTCATCTTTTGTCACCCCTGTTTTTCGAGTGTCACAAGGTTGCTTAGCCTCATGGCTGCTACAAGTACAGCTCCCCGTGCTATGTGTTTTAATACCATCGATGCCGAAACGGCAAATTTAAAGCTGAAGCGTCAAAGTGCAGACAGTGTTTTGCTATTAACTTGAAAGCCATCTCTTGTCACCCCTGTGTTTTTCATGTGTCACATGGTTGCTGTTCAGTTCATGTATTACACGTCAGAAGAAGTTTATCATCGGGTTGCAGTTTCTTCTTCCGTTTAAGGGACACATCCGCAGATCATGCTTCCTCGAGTGCAGTCTTTATGTGTGGAACACATGCATCCTCCAGTGTTGAAAAACAAAAGCACAGTTAATGAAAAATACAAGCAATATGATTTAGCCTGCTTATCCTTAGAACTACGAAATGGCTCGTTTGAAGCAAGCTCATCGCTGCTGTTTTGCTTGCTGTTGTCCTTACAATCACTCTTCTCAGGACTTTCCAGTTCGACTGAATGGAGCTTGCTTAGGCTGCCAGGAGACAAACAATGAGCAGCGATGTCCTTATTGGCAATGCTCTCGACATATGGGATCTAATTATGATGCTAGTGAACTGCAACATGCCGAGGTAATTCCTTAACAATAATGTCGCAGTGCTTGGATGAGAAGGTGACCTTTTCACACCGAGTAACTCCAGGTTTTAGATGTGGAGGAGTGCATTGCCACAGGGTTGTAAGAGAGCTCTTGCATCATCTGGTCAATGAATAGAAATGGGTTTCGAAAGTATTCATGCTCCTGGCTTGTCTTACCCCCAAAGAATTTCTGCAGCACGTCTATCTACAAACAATAGCGCTTATCACAATATAACTTTCGGATGTTAAGATGAGTCACGTGTACTACTGCGCATCAATCCAATGTCATGAACGTTTACTTGTCATATTTTTCCACCAAAAAAAAAACTGCATAAGTAGAATAACAGAGCCCTTCTTGACTGCATGCAGCTTCAAGTTCCCTTCCATCACGTGACTCATGATTTAACGATAATAAGT